AGGGCTGGGAGGCAGACAGTCACTGATAATTGCAGCCGCTGCACTTAGCGCGTCTTGAAGCAAAAATAGGTCAGCTTTGGAGTGGTCAGACGCTCCCCAGCAGGGGACTCGAGGGCAGCTGCCCCTCCTCCTGGGCCCCCTCTGCACCTTCCCCGGGGGACGCCCAGCCTGCCCAAGTGGCTCTGAAAGGGCTGGGAAGTGAATGGAAATGCAGCCCCAGGGAGCAAGTGCACCCTGTCCTCCATCCCCGGGGGCAATGCCGTCCCTCCGGGACCACAGAGCCTCCTTCCACAGGCCTCCCCCCCCATGCCCTCTCCAGCCCCTAAGTCTAGTTGTCACTTGCCCATAGGGTGTCCCCAGGCATCATGTCTAACCCCCAAACCTCAGCACAAGTCCCAGGGAATGGATAGCCATCTTCCCCCACTGGGGCTGAAGCTGGGCACCTCCATTACTTACTCCCCTTATCGAACCCTACACCAACCCAGGCCACCACAGTCTCGGTCCCTCCTGGTCTCCCTGCCTCAGCTGCCTCTCCTCCCTCCCACCCTCCAGGTAAGGGAGGGGACAGATGATCCAAAGTCAAAGCAAGACCTAAATTCCAGAGATGTGCTCAAGGCCCTTGCAGACCTGGCCCGAGGCCGGCCGCCCTCCAGCCCTCCTCCACCCTCTGGCCTCAGGAACTTGCTGGATAGCAGTGCAGCCCTTACTCAGGTCTCATGCCCAGGGCTCTCTGTCTGACCCCACTCCTCTCCCTTCCCTGACTCAGCCTGCCCAGCACCCCCTGCAACCCCACATCTCCTCAAGACAGAGTGCTGGGGGCTACGAAGAAGGAGCCCTGCACTCGACGTCACCACAGGGGACCAGACGGGACCGGACGGGACCGGACGGTGTCAGTCAACTGAGGGAAAGTGACCAGAATGGGAGGACTATTCTGGACGAGGGTCCCCTCAAAGGTCTGGGTAGATGCTCAGGTTTGAGGACTCTAAGCTGGGGGACAAACAGCACTCAGACACTGGATGCCAAGACTATGCAGAACCCTGCTGGCTCTATGAGGCCTTTTCCATCTCACGGGAGTTCCTCTGAGTGGAAGCTGGGGACAGGGTGAGTGGGTGGCAGCGAAGCAAGAGCTGGAGGCTACGCGCCAGGACAGGCCACTGGCTGGGAGATGCCCTGAGGTCAAGGTCAAGGAAAATCTGTCAGCGTCCAGACATCCCGGGCGGTTAAACCCAACCCAGGCATCAAGCTCCCAACCAGGGCAGTTCTTACCAAGGCTCCAAAACCTCAGGCTCTGGGACAACAATAAGAAACCAAAAGCAAAACCAATGTCATTTATGTTAAAAAAAAAGAAACCTACTTTCGTTTAAGACAGTGAGAGCTGCCCGGCCGGGCGTGGCTCCGCGGTTGAGAATCAACCTAGGATCCAGGCGACCCGGGTTCGATTCTGGGTCAGGGCACATGCCCGGGTTGCGGGCTCGATCAATGACTCTCTCATCATTGATGTTTCTGTCTTTCTCTCTCCCTCTCCTTTTCTCTCTCTGAAATCAATAGATATATTAAAAAAAAAAAAGAAAAAAAGACAGTGAGAGCGGAGCTGCACTTTCCCGCCTGGACAGCACCCATCCTGGGCCAGGCACCCCTACAGCCTCCGTGTCCACTGCCGGTCCCCCTCCCTCCTCACATGGGAGGCGGGAGGCCTTGCCCTGCTGGACCCGAGGAGGGGGCAGGGCTGAGACTCTGGCCTAGCCAGACAGTGCCCCAGCCCGGGCAGGGCGGTGAACCAGCAGTGAGGGTGGACTCCTGGGAGCCGCCTGGCTCGGGGCGGGTGCAGAGGGACTGGAATCCGGGCACACCTGTCGGTCGGTGGCTCAGCAGCCCTGTCATCTGGGTGCTGCCCGCCTCAGCGAGCTCGGCACCTGGAAGCCCAGCGCGCCCTCGGGAGCAGGGGCCACAGGGTGCCAAGGGAGCCGTGGGCACGGGGGTGGGCGGGGGAGGCAGGAGGGGGGTCAGGGTCTCAGAAGGGCCGGCACCTAGTTAGCATCCAACTGCCCAGGCGGGGAGCACAGACCTACACGCAGCCTTTCCTGGGGACCGTCTGCTCCACACGGCTCGGGGTCCCCCACACTGAGCTCTGGGCATCTGCGGGGTCAGCCTGAGACGCCCTGTGCACCCCCTAGTGACACAGTGACCCGGGGGCGCGGCCGGAGACGCTCTCGGAACCTCCCAGGGGACATAAAGTGGGTGTAGCCCCCCCCCCGCCAGGCTCACCCCAGGGC